CTACTCTCGGGCACAAGCACACCCGGCGGCTGGGGGGTGTGCTCACCTAATTGGTCAGCTGAAAAAGGCACTCCGCAAAATGCTTCGACAGGCCATCGAGTGCACAAAAATGGAAGTCGCCATTGCCGCTCAGATCCCGCGCTCCCGCGAACGACCACAGGACGCTTATGCACAGCGCCTCTTTCGCGCCCTCTTGGACACGCTTGCACACGGTACTGTCCCGCGCAAGGAGGATGCGAAAGTGCCCGCGGGTTCCGACGATGGCAAATCCATGAAAAGTAGTCGGTCTACGGAGTTCGTGGTCAACTTCTACAACCACCGGCAACTCTACACCTACCAAGACACCAACCAGGACACCAACCAGGACCGCAGAGAGGCGGGGCAGGACGCAGCAGCAGGGGAGGCCGCGGAAGGCGGACGGTCGCTGTCGAGAGTGGACGACGTGTTGTTGGGCGGCAACCTGGTGATTACTCGGCACTTGACGTCGCGATTGTGCCTGAACCGGCGTCTGGAGCCGCTAAGCGAACTGGCCCGGCACGGCGCAGACATAGACGGTTACTATGTGCGCTTCGGAGCGGGTACGGGGGTTCTATTCCTAGTGGCGTTGACTTCGGGATTTGCCAATTGGGATGCGCGTCCCAGACTGTCCGGCGACCGGCATGTGGTGGAGCTAGGCGTTGATGACTGGTTCGTAGGGTTGGACCCATTGGTTCGACGGGTCCGGTCTCTGATCCAGAAAACAGTCAAATGGCGGCTCGAGGAAAGACTTGTGGCCGTCAAGGCGACCACATTCCAGGCCGTTGGCCGACTGGAAAGCGGACCACTGGAGAGCTGGCGATCGCGTCCGCCGGGTCCAGGTTCGGGTGACATCCGCTTCTCGATCACGCTGTCCTACCTCTTGGTCAACTCCACTGTGTGCGACGGCGCAGTGTGTGGTCCGTCGACGCGGATGCTGCTGGACGCGCGGTTGCCGACCACGACTGCAGGTATGTGTGTACACGGGACGCCCCGGGACCCGGCGCGCGAGCGGCAAAAAGGCGGACTGCCCATCAAGTTTTCTGGCGCCCGACCACCGGGACTGCCCATGGCCACGTGGATCAAACAGGGCGCGACTTACGTCTTACACGACCGCGTAGTCGTAGGTGACGTCTCGCTGGTGGTCCCCGACGTTTTCGGTATTCCCGTCAGCGTCACACCGATCGCCGTGTCCATGCGCACTGAGGCCTGCAGCCCAGACACTCTCGGACAACTCAGATGCTTCAGCCTACAGGGCTTACTCCCTGCACATGCCGAAGTTCAACTGAAACAACTCCTTCCCGGGCTTCACCACAAATGCAACTTAGATGCCAGCCCGCTGCGGCTGCCCTCTAGCCATCTCTCGGCGAACCGGTTGCCGTCCGGGACCCCTCAATCCCACTACGTCAGCTACTTCGTTACTCGTACGGAACCGCATTCGGCGGAAATACATCAGCTGGATTCGAGCCGCGGAAGTCCGCAGTGCTCAGAGCTGCAACGGGAGGAGCCACAACGCCGGGCGCCGTTGAGTCCTACAGCGGCCACCGATGCTCCTGGGACTCGAGGGAGTCTGTTAGATTTAGCGAGCCAGGTTCGCGACTTCTCCGGCTCTTGGGCAGTGGAGTTTCCGCACCGGCTAATTAGCCAGATCCTGGTCAGGCCGCACGGCAGCCGGCAACTTGACTTCTTCAATTCAATTGCCGCTGCCTGGACTTACTTAATTCTGACCACACGTTTTGGCGAAAGCCCCCCTGCAAGGGCAGCCAAACCATGGGCCATTGGGGTTGTCCCCGTAACGCATGCGACCAACAAGATGCGACTGCCCAACTTGGAACAGCGCGCCGTGTCCAGCAGAATGTCGGGGAATGGACGGAGTCTTGGCTCACGAGACTATGGCGTTGGAGAGTCAGCAGGCGCGATGACTGTCGGCTCCTCCTCCACGGCGCCGTCAACAATGATTGGTGACATTTCAGACTATGATCAACTTTTGATTGAAGAGGGGAGGTTGCTGGTCTCTGAGATGTTAGCTGCATTGGTGCTCGTCTTATCTGAGGAGATCTCTGGAGACAGTACCTTATCACAGTATGTCAGTTATGAAAGCCAGGTCTTGCCTATCGCCAGCATTGAGAAACTTGTTGCTGAAAGCTTCCTAACTATGGTCGCGTCGCGGCTGGAAGATCTGCTGCAAAGTCTCGGGATTAAAAAGACCTACTTGGAATCCGTCTTGGAAAGGGGTCAAAAATGCGTGAGTGGCATAGCACAGATCTCTGCTGCCGAGCCTCACCGACAGAGAATCCTCAGCTACTGCGCGACGTTGCGAGACAACTTTCTGACAATAGAGGAGGCGTCGAGCACCCCTCCTGATTCAGGAGGACACCACATCACACAGCTGAACGGACAACAGAGCACCCTGCGTCAGTACAAAATGGTGGCCCCTGTATACACTGGCCTGGTGGTAAAGTCTGGCACCACTGGAGATACCCGAACGGATATGGTCCGAGCACTGGCTGTGACTAATCTGAATCACGACATATTCAGAACGTCTTTGGGCGTAGAGCAGATCACCTATGAGGATACGCAGTTCAGTAATGGAGAGCGAGACACAATGAAGGATATTATGACTGAATGTTGTTCTCAGTTTGCCAAGGAGCCGCTGAATGAATTTTGTAGGAGCAGTCTGCGCAAGATTGTGGGAAACATTACACTGGTTCTCCGAAACAACTTTCCCATTACGGTGCCCACGAGCATTGAGGTGAAGAAAAGAACTGTGCCTACTCGCGGTAGCCAGCCGAATGGTGGTCAGTCCATTACTGGTCAGTCCATTACTGGTCAGTCCGCGAACGATCGATCGACTGCAGGTCAGTCCGCGAACGGTCGGGAGGATATGGAGCAGTACCCGGCTTTGACGTTGAGTAACTTCACTGGCGGGAGCGTGTTAGACCGATCTGCAGAGATTTTGTTGGCAGACGTACGCGCGGATTTGGAATACCTGAAGGATGTGGTGGGGTGTGTGCAAACATCTGATTTACCGGATGTGATATCCCCGATACTGTATACGGAGTCAGGTGTGTGTAGTCTGTTGGCCGAGCGTGTGTCCGTGGCGGAACGTGAGTTGTGGCATGCGGTAAATCTGTTTATCAAGTTGCTGTTCCCGGTGGGTACGCGCTTATTGGAGACGGGTCCGCCGCCTCTTCTGCAGCCGGTGGATGTGTCGTACCATCTGGCCTCTTGCGCACTGTTGCCTTTGGGTTTGCTGAGTTGCATCTACCACTTGAGCGACAACTCCGCGGCGGCTGTTTCCGTGACTATTCTCGCACGCTTTGTTCGCTCGACCATCGCGTCCCAGGAGGTCGCCTGCGTCTACGAACGTAATGAACTGCTCGCACTACCTATAGGCCCACCTGCCGCTTCCAACCTCGCCAAACACTTGTCGGAACACACACCCGGATGCGTCTTGTGGCCGGGTGTTGACATCCTCGTTCATGCTGCCCTTACGCGTCCCTTACCCTGCTCGACGGCCGTGCACGGTAACGGTATCGACAGTATGGGACCGGTCGACGGTATGGGACCGGTCGACAGTATGGGACCGGTCGACAGTATGGGGCCGGTCGACGGTATGGGAACTGAAGATAAGGCCGGATCAACTGAAGACAAGGTCGGAACAAGAACTCTGAGTGCTGCGGAGGCCAAGTTGGTGGCTAGCATGGCTGAGACGAATTGCCTCACGAATGCGATTCGACTGCAGTGGTCGACGGAGGCTGCATGGTTGTTGAAGCGGCCGCCACCAGTGCGATTCTACAGTCGGACACGGCCGTCACTAATGAGTAAGGCGCTCTCGGCGACCGCACACCCTGCTAGTTGGTTGATAGAGGTCTTGTGTTTATGCGCGAACGTCTGGATGGCAGGCGACCACGGACACAGTGGTGCATTGGGGTTGGGTGTGCCACGACTGTGGCAGTTTGATCCGCTACTAGCCGCCTCGGAACCGGCACTGAAACAACGGAACGAGAAGATGCGTGCTGTCGGAGTTGACGTCTGGGAAACGATCGTGCCCATGCCAATTTATCTTAGCGCCAATCTCAGTAAGGCCGACTGTGGCCAGTACCACACACTCCTCCTTACAGAACAAGGACAATTGGTAGCTTATGGGTCAACCAAACATGGACAACTGGGCTTCCTCATGCCCCAGAATAAACTTTGCTTGCCCATCAATTCCACACGGACACACTGCGGAGATCGCAGACTGCTCGACCACATACATGCCACACGTAAAAGAGAACGTTTCAAAGCAATCAGACGACTCGCCAAAAAGACATCCGGCTACCCTCTCCCAGGCAATTCAGTCGTAAGCTCGGAACCTAGGCCACACGGGTCTGGGGCCACACGGGTCTGGGGCCACGCGGGTCTGGGGCCACATCGGCTTCGAACTCGGGACCGAACCACGTCAGGTCACGATTTTCTCTGTAGACAGCGGAGTATGCGGAGGAATCTTATCAGTTACCCTGGTCGGTCACTTCCCCGGTAACGTTGTCCTTCTTCCATCACGGTGAGTTCGCCAAGATAACAGATGTCGTTTGTGGATCAAACTTTTCGTTATGTCGAGTGAGGCCGGACTCTGCGGTAGAGAAGGATTATTTGGTGCTCTTGGCCGACCGACAGGGCGTGGACGTGGCCGACGAGAATGTTGGCGGCATCGACAGCAGCCGGCTCCGACGGCACTCCTCGTTGCTCAGTTCCATCGATGACAAGCCCGTTCGTAACGCATACGTATTCCGGAACGTGGTCCCGAGCGCCTTCGACAGTACCCTGGAATCACCCTTGAATAGCGCGCCAGACAATAGTCCCTTTCCGACGCCTTCGGCCCAACGGGACCTGGCGGAAAGAAGTCGAGGAACCGGGAGTCGGCCAGGCGGGAGTCGCAACCAAGACCGCGGTGGTAAGAACGGTGGTCGCAGGGATTACAACCAATACGGTGGCCTGCAGCAGGATAGTGGCCTGCAGCAGGATAGTGGCCTGCAGCAGGATGTCGGCCGGCAGCAGGATGTCGGCCGGCAGCAGGATGTCGGTCAAGATCCGGAGTGTGGTTGTATGTTCGTGGTCGAGGCGCCGTCAATAGTGCGTGTCATGGGTGCAGGGGTTGCGCACTGGGGCGTTATTTGTGAGGATGGGTCGTTGTTACTTGGCGGCAGTAATGCAGCTGGGCAGTTGGGTCCGTGGGCGAAGGATGCGGATCCGGAGGAAGAGAGTGAGTACTACGTGATGTGTGATTTGCGCTACGGACGTTACGATGCGGCCCGTTTGAAGCAATTGATGGCGGAAGATGTCCCGCGTTTCTGCTCACTTGGCTTCTCTGTCACGCTCTGGAAATGTGGTGTGGGTGTGTGGTGTGTCGTTGCCGCACACGGCACACAGACTCGAGCACCCCCAAGCAGTTACCTTCAGCGAGTACGCTGCCTCTCCCTCTCCTGTGGAGAAAGCCACACCCTCCTTCTCACCGAATGCAACGGCTTCCGCTTCGCACTCAGTTGGGGATCCGATGACGCTGCACAGCAACTTGTTGCATCTCCGGACGGTCCCCTGAACGGTCCCCAGACAGTACCGTCCCGGTCTCCATCGCGGTCTCCGTCTGGGTCTCCGGCTGCACCCCCTCTGCCCGGACCATTCTCCCCCGGCGAATGTCCCGTGTCCAATTCGGAGTTGGTGTTTAACTCCCGTGCATCTGGTGCTCGTTTGCCGTACGTGTGTGCAGTGGACCAAAGGGTGAGTCGCGTGGAGGCTGGGAGCATGTGTTCGGCTTTGGTGGGTAATGGAGTGCGGTGGTGGGGCACTCAGGTAGATGGTCACTTGGGTTGGGCGGGTGCTTCGAACCAGACGCGACGGGGGTCAGTGGCACCGGCGGCATCCCTCAGTCGGATCGGAGTCCTCTCGGCCACTCTGGACGCGGGCCAGGTTCGCGTCTTCGGCAAAGCATTCGGCCGTCTGGCGGTTCCGCGCGCCTTCGAGAGCTGCGTCCCACGACTCTGGCGCGACTCCCTTCGTGCCAGCCGCGGCCCGGACGCCTTCATCCCCACCTGGGTCCACGGTGTCGCCCTGGGCGAAGCCCACATGGCCTTCCTCTGCCACCCCAACCTCTCCCACTCACGCACCGCAAACTACCTTCAGCGCCTCCTCGCCCTTCCCCCACCCCTCCCCCGCCGAAACCAAACCC